GCAGGGAATAAACTCAGAACAGAATCTGGATGCGGGTAAATCTGTGGATCTGTGTGTCTCAGACAGGGCGGCTGACCCGGTGATGGCCCTGCAGATCGACTGGATGCTGGAGCTCCCTCAGCTCTACAGGCAGTGCTACGACAAGCCCACCCCCCCCAGAGGAGACGGGTAATGCCCCCCAGGCCAGAGGCAAAGGCCTTTATCACCTCAGCCAGAGCCCCACGGCCTATCAGAGCATGTGTTAAAGTCTAAAGTTATTTATCTACTTACTTAGTTGTCAGACTCATGTTGAACAGGGATTTACTCTGATAACAACTTAATGGTTAGGACACAGACCTGTGGTTACAGATGCTAATGCTAATGCTAATGCTCTGATAACAACTTAATTGTTAGGACACAGACCTGTGGTTACAGATGCTAATGCTAATGCTCTGATAACAACTTAATGGTTAGGACACAGACCTGTGGGTTACAGATGCTAATGCTAATGCTAATGCTCTGATAACAACTTAATGATTAGGACACAGACCTGTGGGTTACAGATGCTAATGCTAATGCTAACGCTCTGATAACAAATTAATGGTTAGGACACAGACCTGTGGGTTACAGATGCTAATGGTAATGCTCGTGTGGGATCGGACTTTAGCCCACAAACTTCTTTAATCAATGTTAAAATATTAAACACTCAAACTTAAGTTATTTATCTACTACTTTAGTTGTCAAACTCATGTTGAACAGGGATTTACTCTGATAACAACTGAATGGTTAGGACACAGACCTGTGGTTACAGATGCTAATGCTAATGTTCGTGTGGGATCGGAGTTAAAAATAAAAACTGGATCTGGAGTCTGGATCTGCGTTTTCTCCTGCCAGTCGATCTGATCCAGATATCGAATCGGGACCAGTCTAGTTCAAACTATCACCAGTTAGATTTAACAACACACAATCTTGAAGTCCTGATGGGGAAACAGATCCTCTGATGTCATCGTGGTGCTCAGAGGACTGAAAGGGTCCTAAAACCTCACAAAAATGAACTGATGAGTGATAGAAAGATGCTAGCTAAGTCCCAGTCTGAGCGCTAACTCCTCTCCTCCGGCCCTCAGGCACACGGCGGACAGCCCCCTGAACAGAGCCACGGCCCTCATCAAGGACTTCATCAGCCAGAAGTCTGTGGCCAAGTTCAGACCGCTGGACGTCCTGGAGCTGCTGCAGCCGCTGGTGTCCAGCCAGCCGCCGCCCGCAGATAACCAGGTAACCAGACCAGGTAACCAGACCAGGTAACCAGACCAGGTAACCAGACCAGG